TTGCAGAAAATTTTTTTCGTTTTATGAAAGTTTTATGAAAAGTTTTTAGTGTTTTATGATGGCTCACTCTATAGGTATATTATATCGTTCTTAAAATTTTTATAATTTTGTAATATATTGTATCTTAAAATTTTTATAATTCCAATATAACTCTACAGGTGTAATAAATAAATACATATAATGAAAGAAATTTTCACGTCGACTGTATCTTAATTTCTTCATTTCTATTCCATTCATCGTATATCACTTCTGATAAGTGTAATGATTTAATTTAATGGAGTGTTAAGAATACAGGAATTAAAGATGATAAGAATTAATGATTATTTGTAGATACTCGTAAGGGAAGGGCATAAGGTATGTATTTAATTGCTAAATCGTGAAATTCATTCTTATTTTAAACGATTTTCGTATTGTTAGTGTAAGATGAAAAGATTTTACTACGTAATTATGCTTTTACTAGATATTGGCATGTCATTTCTGTTTCGAATCATAATTGCATTTATTGTAATTATATCTCAGATTATATTCGGAATTCGTAATAAATATTATCGACATAGTTATAAAGTAACTTCTGACAAAAATATTCTTTTAATTCACTCTTTTAATCTTCATTGAAACTATTTTTTGATAAAAATACTTTTTCTTTGGCATGCTGAAGATTAAATCTAAACTTGTAAATTGTGTCAAAAATTTGAGTGAAAATAAACGTAAAATAATTTATAATGTTTATGCCATATGACATTTTGCAATTATTACTATACACAGTTTCTATTGCTATTATTATTATTATTACTAGTTTCAGTATTTAGCAGTATTACTGTTTCTTCAAAATTAATACGAATTATAGAAAATAGCTAAGATTTGAAGTCTCAAATTTGGAAGAATGTCGATAAGATCTATGATTTGTATAATATACTAATGACAAATTAAGAAATCTGAAAGAATCTAGGAGTATCGAATTAAAAAATTATTTAGACAGACTTTATAAAGATACGAGGAAATTTTCAGATAGATATTCTTACATCAATTACACGACATAAAGGAAAGTGCCAAGGACCACATTTCTACAAATACTTCTCCATGAAAGACCACCATAAATTATGGATCTTACAGATCTCCCGTTGAAAAACCTATAATTCTGAGGATTCATGTTCCTTAAGTATATACCAATCTTCTAGAGACTGTTATTTATCAGAATACCTATGTCAGATAGAGAAATTACAGTGTTCTACTGCCAGTAGATGTAGATATCATAGTAGACTGCGCTGCACATTAATCGTCAAATCGAAGTGCAATATTTGCATCTTAATTTAATTTAATATTTATTAAAATTAAATGCAAATATCAAATTTTTCAA